GGCGCCGCGCCGCGGGCGGGGCGTCGGGGGCGCCGTGTGCAGCGGCGCGCAGGGAGGCGGGAGCGGGCGCGGGGCTTCCGAACCCGGACTGTGCGTGCGTGCACGCGTGTGTGCGTGTGTTCGCGCGTGTTTTTCCTTCTTCCCTGGAGGACGTGGATGGCTTCGCAGCTGGCTTTCCCCCAGGATTTTTGACTTTGGGGAAATCTGGGCTGTGAGCACAACCCACCCGTGTAATCCATTCTGCACGGTCGGGTGTATCAGGAAAAAAAGCGCAACTGGCCGGGGGTGGGGCAGCCCGAGGAAACGTTCTGGAAATACAGACTGGAGACGGGAGGAAATGAAAGAGCCAAGAAGACTTTTATGACCTCTCCGCCGGCCCTTCATTTTGCGGGCAAGATCCTGGATGTTTTCTATCTTTTCAAGTCATTTTGACGTCTCTGTAGTTTTGTGTGAGCCGCTTCCCAGCCAGCTGCTTGTGTGCGTGTGTGTTTGTGCGCGCGTGTGTGCGCGCGCGCCTATCTGATGCATTTGACTGTCTTTTATCCAACTGCCCAGAAGCAAATGTGTTAACTCGGCGATGCCCCTCCGTGCCCGGCTTCTCCCAGAGCGCCGAGGACGTCCAGACCCATTTTCCTGGCTGGGTTTGGAGCGGCTGCTGGGCTGCGGACCCAGAGGCATGGATCGCTTTACCCCGAGGTTTGGAAAGCGGCAATATTAGCCAGCTCCCAGGTACATCGCAAGGTCAAGAGAGGGTCTTGCAACCGTCTTGTAACCCTGCACGTAGACTTTCCTGGCTGGGTCAGAAGGAGAGGTATGTTTCGATCCACGGCGGTTGAAGCCAAAAGTTGAGCCTTTCCAGCTGGTTTATCCTACAAACAAGCTAATGAAGATCGCTTTTCAAACTGCTTAACAAAATCCCCGGCTCTGTCACAGCCTCTTCCTAGCTCCCTCTTTCCCACGAAAATGTCACCAGCTCTAAAATTGCAAGGATTTGCGGTGGAGGAGAACTTGAAGGAAACGTGATCAAAGGGCTATGCGAAACCGAGAACGCTCTCTTGGCTGCCGGAGGTCTGGTGGGCTTCCAAGCGGATCTGGAGAAGAACCGGTGCCCTCCTCGCTTCTCCCTCTTCATGCCGGTTGGGTGTGCGTGCAAGTATGAGTGCGCCCGCGCCCGGATCTGAGTGTGAGTGAGTGTGTGTGTGTGTGTGTATGTGTGTGTGTGTGTGCGCGCGCGCGCGTGTGTGTATGTGTGTGTGTGTCTGTGTGCGTGCGCGGTCGCCCTGCCTCTGCCCGCTCCCCGGGCGCAGAGCCGCGGGTTCCATGGGGCGATCAGTGCGGATCCCCCACCCAGCACGACCCGAGGGCAACGGCGGCAGTGGCAGGAGCCACCTCTCTGACTCCCTAGGATGCGGGTGCTGAGCTATGGCAAAGGGCAGCGAAGTGACAAGCGAGACCCGAGAACGACAGTGAAAGCCACCTGGAGCCACCTTGCCGGGATTGTACCTGCAGGCAGAAAGTCCTCCTACGACCGTCTTTCCCCCTAGAGGCACCAGGTAACCAGCAAAGGACTACTTGCCTCACCCAGTTTTCCTCTGGTCTTGCTTCTAGGGTGTCTTATCTGCATTGCAGGCTACTTTACTTATTAATGTTTTGAAAATCATTAGGAAGGGCTGGGTATCCAAGGGCGCCTGCTCTGTGCTGTGGTAATAGCATTTCTGGGAGCTGGAACATAAATCTCGACCTGAGCACTTAATCTAGCAGTGGAAGCTGTGGGGCTATGGATATGCTCCACGCTAAGGATATCTTCTGAGAGCCAGGCATGCTGCACCTGTCTGAAGATACCAGAGATTAAAATTTCGTGTTTCCTTCAGGCTGTGGTTGCCATGGACCATTTGGTGTCCAGCCCTCCCCAGATTGTAGAGTAAGAGATGGTGTTTGGTCTGCATACTTCATTTCAACCAGCGATCCGTTTTTGACCCTTCTCTGTTTCTAGTACCCGTGTGCTTTCTCTCTCCCTTTCCTTGTTGTGCACAAGCTTGCCAGATTCTTTTAGTAGTTGTAAATTACACATCCTGGGACTTTGATCCCAAATGGAGTTTTCTTGGAACTTGCTTTGCATGGGAAGGAATTCATTGTCATGGGTGTGTTTTGAAAGGATGGTGTGTAACGGCGGCCGGGTTTGCTTTGATGTAGCAGAATAAATCCACGAAAAGAAGTCATTTTTGTGTCTAGGAGAATGAGAATAACACCTCAGCCCTTGCCGCCCCAGCTGCATTTTCTCTGTTGTGAGGAAGGTTTGTGGCCCCATGGGTGTGTTTCTAATGGGTATTTTGAAAATTCTTTCCAGTGCCTTGACTTACAAACAGCAGGCTGGATTTGCTACTGCTTAATGAACATATTGGTTCCGATCTGCTAAAATGGAGATTCCCGTGGCTGGCTGAGGCGTCACAAGTGTAGTTAACTTCCCAAGCCCCTCACCCTTATACCTTCCAGTCTTCTATTCCCTTTCCCCACCGTCTTGCCCTCCTTCAACCCCTACAGAAAATTTCCCTCCTTTCTGGAGGGCATTAGAATTAACGTGGTAAAGAGCTTCTAAAGTAGCCTGTGGATGTTTTATTTGATAGTGAAGACAATCTGCATAATTTAGCCAAGGAGGGCCAGTCTGTCCTCTGCCTTGGTGGTGGTGGTGGGGGTGCTGCCTGCTGGGTGCGTTCCTCAGAGCTTTGGCCCGGAGAATCCCGTGGCGCCGGCTGCAGGAGGCGGTGGCTGGGGCTGCGGGGTTTCTGTTTGCTGACGCCGCCGCTTAGAAAGTGGAGGGGCGCTGCCTGAATTTCTCCACTAGCTGCGTTTCTATAGATATCCATATGATGGCATTTGAAGACTATGAGCTGGCTGGTAGCTGCTCTAGTTGTCCCTGCTCTCTGACGTCCCCAGCTCCTCCTCTGGAGTCTGGGGCTCAGCTGCTGCTGCAGCCCTCACAGGCTGGTGGTGCTACAAGGCTGCATTTGCCACGGGCATTGGGGGGCTGGGCTCTGCCACTGCAGCTGCCAGGTCGGCTTTAACACTTTCTTGGGGCGGGGCTGGAGAGCTCAGCAAGCTTGCTGGCAGAGAGCAGCACGTCTGGGCCTAGGTGGCCGCCTGGATAGGAGCAAGGAGGTGGGGAGAGGAGCGGAGGGCTGCGGTGTCCAAAAGCTTACCGCTGCAAAACCTCTCTCCCCCCTCCCTTCTTGTATGAATTTTAAAGAACATGAAATGAAAGCTGGCTCCAAATATTCCTTGCTGTTCAAGTATCACATAGAGTCTCAGGACTCCAAAACAGAAGCTAAGCGTACATTTATGAGATTTCCGTTTGCTCTTTCTCCTCACCCCTCGTGCTCCTCTGGATGCGATCTGGCCCCTGTTACACCCTTGTTCTGCCTTCAGTTGGAACACTGCTGTAGAATCAGCTAAGGCATCCTCCCAACTCATAGACATGAATGAGAGGAGGGCTGCTCTCCAGACAGACTTGGCGTGTAGCTTGGAACTCTGAGCAGGGTGCAAAGGAAACTTGGCTTTATTAGTAAAGCAGGTCGCCCCCCCCAACCCCAACACACACACCCAATTCTCTGAGGACTGGGAGGACACAGTAGCACTGACTGGGAAATGCAAGTGTAGGTAACCAAAATAATCACAACTGGGGACTTGGTAGGAAGTGACGGTATTTTTCCTCTCTTCCTTTTATTCATTTAGTGATTTTAGTTGTAGTTCTCCTAACAGGAGATCCTAGTTAGGACTCTTGTGTGCTCATCCTCTGACAGAGACATGTCTTTTTGTCCCATAAGTTTACTAAGACTTTATTGCAACAAAGCTGATACCCTATTAGCTGTTAACAAATAAGCCCCACCAATCTAGAAAGTCATGAAAACCAGCAAACCAAGAAACACTGAATGTGGATGAAGCATCTGAATGTTGGAAAAATAGGTGTTTCCTCCCTTCTCTCCTCAGTTTGCTTCCTTTGGCCTTTTCTCACCATAGATTCAACCTTTTGACAGTTAATACTTGTCTTTTAAAACATTAAATGTATGGATTCATTTTAGGTATCCATAATGACTCCATTCACAACAGGCAGTGATATACATGTCCATGTACCTGTACACATTATTCCCATTAAGTCAGCTTCCTTCTGTGTGCTTGGAAGGCAGAACAGAGTAGAATAGGTTAATGCCAAAATACCATTCACTGCTATGGACTGGAGTGAGGCTAGATGTTCAAACCAAATCCAGTTCTTACCACAAGGTTTCATATATAGAGGCTCACCCACCAGTCAATAACTGAATCAATACATAAAAGTTTCTACCACCTTTACCTTCTCCCTTGTCTGGAGAGATGGTGAGTAAAGGTGAGTTTAGAGATCTGGACCCACTTTCTTTGTGAGGGGAAAATCCACTCACAGAACTGGCCTGGGCCACCAATGAGGTAAAACTGATAATGATTAATGGAACATTTCCCTTCCAAACCTTCTCATTTGCAGGCCCCTTTTCATAGGTGCAGAACAATAGGAAAGTCAGAACACTCTGGGCACAGACATGAGCATAGAGGGGGAAAGTTGTCACTTGATTTTCATCCTCTAGACAATTTCTTTCAGTTATTTTTTTTGCTTTCTCTTTTGAAGAGGACAGTGACCTTGAGCAATACCAGTACTCTGTGCTTCCCACGCCTCCTTCCTTCTTCTAAATGTGTTGTGCTTTGTGCACATACACACCCATTTCAGTTTGAAGTAGGAGAATTTGGTGCTGTAGGTTCATGGAGGCATATCTTTGACACTAGCCAGAGGTAATTTTTTTCCCCTTGCTTTCAAGAGAGAGAGTAAAAACTACAGCCATCTGAGGGAAAATTGCCACACCCTTTTCCTCTCTTCAATTACTTTTTGTTTTCTCTGTCATTAAATGGATTTCTGGGAGGAAAGCCTTGTCAGGCTATGACATTAGTTGCTAAATGACCATCATATGTTATAGCTACCTTTCATCTCTTCATGCGGAGGCGTCGTTTCCTTTTGTCCATTTAAACCAGGGCTTTGCTTCCTCTTGCTGCTTGAAGTGCTTTTGCCTGGATAGTTTTGCTGAGTTTTCTCCTTGGTGAAATTAGGACCTGCTTTCTGCTTATATTATTGCTGTGGTGTGTGCTTGGGAAGGGATACACCATCTAACAGTGTTCCTGTTTCTCTGTGAAATTACTATACAGTAATTACTCAGTTACTTGAAAGTGAATTTATAGTCAATAACACTGCTAGTAATTATTCTTGGCAAAATTTAAGTCAGAGGAAGAAAACTACTTGAAACTTTCTAAAGATTTCAATAGGAAATCCATTACCTTATTCCTGCAATTTTTGTTTTCTATTCCCTGAAAAAGGAAATATACTGTCGTCATATATTGGTTCTAGTGGCTCTTTTGTATGGCCTAAGTTCTAAATTTTATGCTTGACTGAAGAGTGAAGATAAAATTTAGGCCTCATTGATGGGAGTGGATTGCTTAGGCAACATGACTAATTGGTAATTTTGCTAAATCATTCCAGTGACACCCATGTATGTAGCTCTGCCTTGTTCAATAACCCTGAGAATGAGTCTACTTGCTGTATTTCTAAAGCTCACATTTTTATTCCTGTGGCATCCTTTAATCATTGAGGACTATTTAAAACCTAAAGCAGTATAACGTATGTTACATGGCTTGTACATGATGAAATGAAGAAGGACTAGGTTTAGGGTTTTTGAAGATCATCTGGTTAGAGGTGAACTTTTTCATTGTGCTCTATCACCATAAATTGTATGGTATTGTTATATCCTCAGTATAATATAAATACAAAAAGAGAAGAATTTAACTCAAAGATCGGTAATGCTACTTTAAGCTTTTTTATCATAGTGCTCTGATAGATACTGTTCTGACAGCCTGCTTTTTACTGAACTATATCATCATTTAACAGTAATTATGAGGCTAGTTAACAAGTGATAGACAATTACAAGAGAAATACACGATTATACAAATGCACCATCATTTTACTGATATCAAGTAAAACACTTGTATTATTTAAATATATCCTTTTTATTTTTACAAAAGACTCAAATTACATTTTTAATATTTCTGAGAAATTGGCTTTGGTAGCTGGTATTTGTTAAGTTATGTGTTTCCATTAGGAGGAAAATGTCAGTTGACCAAATTGGATCTTCCTAGAAATTACATCTTTTATAAAAGAAATCTGTTGAGTCGTGTAGTGCACATTATTCTCTTTGTGAGAAAAATACATATTACTTTAAAAATCAACTTCCAATAAAATATTTTAGAATTAATGCTAACAAGCCTTGTGAAGAATGACTGTAGAATGCTAGTAGAAACTGAGTCTATTTTAGATGTGACAACAAAAATGCCCCAAGAAAGAAAGTACCATAAAGGCCAACTTTACTTACTGGGTGTGGAGCTGCATACCAGAAATTCCAGCACTTGGGAGGCTGAGGCAGGAGGATCAATGCAAGTTCCAGACCAGCCTGGGCTACACAGTGAGCTCAAGGCCAGTCTGAAATAC